TAAAAAATGTTAGAAACAGACTCTATAGTAAAAAGAGTTTAAGGGTAAATACAATTATAATGTTTCTTATAATTTATTTAAATAATACTTACATTAAACTTCTAGGAATCTCCTGAAAAGGCATTTATAAGATGGTCTCATTATCAAGATGTCTACAATAATGATGTAAATAGAAATTTAAATTCTCCAACAAGGGTCTGTCCTAAAATTTCATTAAGACACATAGAAGTTGATGGGTTTAGTAAAATGAGTGTCAAGTTAGCAACTCAGGTAAATTTATATCAGAAAAATATATTTGTCATTATCAACTATTACTTGTTTCTAGATTTTTAGTGATTCTATGGCCAAGGGCATAGAATTCTATAGAGAGTATGTTGGAATTGAATCTTTAAAAATTAGTTATGAAACACAAATTTTTACTGACCGTTTCAATAAACTTTTTGATGTATTTAATAGAAAGCACCCTGGAGAAGGAATAAAAAAAAATAGTCTTGATTTTCAGGTACATTTGGCTGTAATTAAAATATATTATTATTTCACTATGATTTTTTTGATTTTTTGAACCAGGTGTTGGAAGATAATCTAGTTTGGTTAAACCGTTGGGAAGAACAAGTAGAAACTAAAAAAATAACCAAAGATGAATACTTGACTCAAAACACTGCTGATGGATTACGTGTTACCATTTAATCAACATTAGAACTGACAAAATATCTTTTAGATAAATGTGGATTCAAATATGTTCTAACCTGCAAAATGAATCAAGACCGTGTAGAGGTAAGTATATAATTAAAGGAGCACACTACACAAAAAAAAAATTCTTTAAATTGTTTTTAAATGTAAAACGTAAAACCTATACCATTATCCTTATAATTGAACATTCTTTCAAATAAAAAAAACTTATTTTTTGTGTTGTGTGCTCCTTTAAGTAAAGAGTACTATAGTACTATACATATTATTACATATAATGATTATAATGTAGATATTAAATTGTATTTGTTTATAKCAATTTTTTGGTATGACTAGACAGGCTTCTGGACCTAATGAGCACCCTAGTACACCTACATTTCTCCAAGTGTATAAAATGTTATCTATCTATTCTTTATTAAAACCACCAAAAACTGGAAATTGTAAAGTTTTAGAGCAAAATACACAACAAACAATTACAATTAATGATTTTAAGTCTACTATAAATATTGAGAATGTTTCAGAGAGAATTGAAAAAATTGAAACCTTAAAAAAAAAACTTGACTCCTTAATAATAAATGATGTAGATGTAGATGATGTATTTGATGGTAATATACATAATTATTACAAGGCAAATGTTGAAGACTGTGTGTTATATTATATTTGTGGCTATATCACCAAAAATCTCACAAAGCAAWTAAAATGTAAAGATTGCCTTACTGTAATAACTGGTAAGTACTTATACAAACATCTTTCCTATAAACAAATTACAATAAACTAAACTTAAATAGCATTTTGACAATAACARTTTATTTTCAGGTAAAAAAACGTACTCTGATAAACCTGAAGCTACATTTCTCAATTTAAAATCACGGGGAGGTTTGACTTATCCAAATGAATTCATTTTTAGATTGTTGACGGCAGTCGAAAATTTATTTGCAAAATGTTTATCTATAATTTATTATATTGCTAATTTGTTATATTTAATTTTATTACAATTCGCTAATATTCTTTTTTTTTTTCCATAAAATATACACTATTGGTTTTTTATATAATTAATATATTTATCTAATATCCATGTAATATGTATATATTTTTAAAAATAAAGTTTGTTTTAATAAAGTAATATTTTTAGAAGTTGTTATATCCGGTAATACAGTGGCGTGCAGATCCCTTTTTCCATGTAGGGCAAAGTTAACTTATTACACCCACCACCCACCCAAAACTAAAAGTTACAAATAATATATTTTTTATTAAGGGCCTCTATACAGTTATATGAAAACACAATATTTATTAAATAAAAAAACCYACACCYACCCCATTTTCAAGTGGGGCCTAAGCCCCATTTGTGTCTTGTCTGCACGCCACTGCRGTAATAATAMCAATCGGTAAAAGTATGGTCTTACAGTATTTAGTCAAGGCARTAGTTAGATAATAGATATTATTAATTTAAGTCATAAAAAACCTTAAATTTTAAGTACATTTCATTGAATATCACACAAATACTTTATTAATTCTAATAGTTTCATCTCTACCATATGCATATTAATTATTAATATGTCTATGATCTATACCTACATAAGATCATTTATGTTATGAAATATCAACATTTTTCAAACTTTAAATTKCTTCAGTAATTTGTACTAATTAGTAAGCATCAAATAAATATACCCTTAGTTATTAAAATAATTTATGTTCATTTTAAAGAAAACATCAAATTTAATAATTTTGCAAAAAGTTTGCCGGTGTACATTGTACAATGAATATTATGATTAATGTGTAATTCCTAAAATAGATGGCGCTAGATACTACACTTGTACCTTTGGAAACATTTGGGGATCACTGATAATGTTTTCGATACCAGTCCTGTATATCTTAGTCCGTGGTTCAAATCGATAGTTCAAGAATAGTTACGACTTATACGAGTGATGTATTGTAACGACCCATATCTCCGATACAAACCTGTACGTAACGATGCGTATCGGAATTTAACTCCAATACGATTCGGTACGTATCGATATGCAGTGGCGTGCTGAACAGCTATTTTTTGAGGCAATTGCCTCAGGGAAAATAGGGGTGGGT